TCCATTGCGGTCGTAGGCTGTAGCTGCCTCCAGTTGAGGGGGACTTCACAGCGCCCATCACCTTTTACTTCACCTCACTTTCACTCTTTACTTCCACCGTCTCCCCCCACCTGAACCCTGTGCATAACAATGAGAACTGTGGGGGGGGGGGGAAGGGGGGGCGGAAACAGTCCTACCTTGCCTGTCCCACTTCACGAGGTCTTCTGAAGCCATTCCCACCGTCCCAGCCCCTCCCAGAGATGGCCAGAGTCGCCTATAAGAAGCATTGGACTACCTTGCAAGGCTGTTGTGCCACACAAAAAAGAAAGAAAGAAAGAAAGAAAGAAAGAAAGAAAGAAAGAGGCTTCTTTTGACAGACTCCAGTCCAAGGCGACCACAGGGACCCCTCCCCCTTGCTCAAATTATGGGGGTGAGTGGGAGGCCTCAGCCCCCCCCATTCCCCTCCCCATCTTTTCCATCCTTCAGGGGGCGGGGCCTATCCCAAGGGGGCGGGGCTTCCCCCACCGGCGGGAACCGCGAAGGAGGAGAAGGAGGAGCGCGAGGCGTGGGAAATTCCTCCTTCGCGCGGTCGGCTCGGCGGAGCGGCCGGGGCTCCCCCCACCCCACCCCGCCCCGAGGTGGCTCCGGCTCCTCCTCCCCACTCGTGCCCGCTCCGCCCCGTCGGAGGCGGCGGGGAAAAAAGCGGCGAGAGGGAGGAAACGGCGCTTGAGAAGGAGGAGACGAGCAGCGCGGGGGCGAAGCTCGCGAGGGAGCCGAGCAGGTAAGGCTTGGCGGGGGGGGGGGGGGGGGCGCTGGGATGGGGAAGGGAGGAGGAGGGGGAGTTAGGCTTTAGGGACCCCCTCGGGTGGGCATATTACGCACCCGGCTCCGAGAAGCCCGGAAGAATCTCTGGTTTGGGTTCCCACGAGTCTCGACCCGTCGTAGCCAGCTGTCGCTCGTGGCTGGGCTCCGGCAGGTGAGGCTGGAGACGCGCGTGGGGGTCCTGGCTGGGATGGGGGGGGGGGGGAAATGAGGGGTAAGAGATGGGCAAAGAGGGGAGAGAGGGCATCTAGACCTGGCCCCGAGAAGCCTCCTCTGCCCGGAAAAGTCTCTGGTGGGTTCCCACGACCCCATTGGCTGAGCTCTGGCAGGTAGAAGGACGGAGATGCGGGGGTAGAAGGGTGGGGGAGGAGGGGCAAGACTTTGAGGTAAGACTTGAGGTGGGCAAAGAGGGAGGGGTGAACTTTTAGACTGGCCCCCCGAGAAGCCCTGTCTTCCCAAAAAAGTCTCTGGTGGGTTCTCACGATCTTTTGTAGCCAGCCAACGCTCGTGACTGTGCTCCGGCAGGTGAGGCTGGAGAGGTCGTGGGGGTCCTGGGATGGGGAAGAGAGAAAGGGCTTAGGGTTTGGGGGCATCCCTTGGGAGGGGGGGGCAAATGGGGGCAAGGGCATATGTGGACCCTGGCTCTGAGAAGCCCCCTTTGCCCAGAAAACTCTCTGACGGTTTCCCACGACCCTGTTGTAGCCAGCTGACCCTCCTGGCTGGGCTCGGCAGATGAGGATGGGGTCATGTGGAGGGGGGGAGGGAGAGAAGAAAGGAGGAATATGATTTTAGGTGCCCAAAGAGGGGAGA